TCAATACAATGGTTACATTAATAGACGGTGAACACAATGCTACCTGTGCTACAGTGGCCGGGATCAGCTAACTCCCAACAGAGGCCTCTGATTAATATTTACTGACCTAAAACTGCGCCAGGTGCTTACGGATTTTCCATCTCTATAACCATCAAAACAAATTTACAAATTGATAAAGTAGCTATAGATATCTCCCTTTAATGAATTCAAAAGCCACAGATTTATACGATTGGGTGTTTTTTTTCTGTAAGGTCCTAACTCCCAGTGAAGGACAGATTTGTTATTCGGATCCAGTGTTCCCAGTTTGCACCTCTGGAGGGGTCTGATTGGCAAAACTACTAAGTATCATAAGGCTTCACAGGCAGAGTAAGTAAAGCAGGAAGGGGAGAGGCTGTGGTGCTAGGGATTCTGATTCGCTGCTGTCAAAATCAAGAAATCAGCCCTATGTGCCTGATGCAACACAATTTGGGATGGGGTTGGCATTTTAGCAAATACAGTAGTAGAAAAATCTAAATAATGAATTAGAAACATCAAAGGCATGAAGCTGATTAAAGTTATAATTCTTCTATTGTAATGCTTTATTGATACAGCCAAAGGCAAGCGATGCAAATCATGAGATATTCATATTACTCTGTGTAAAAAGAAAATTCCTAGCATCGTGTTCCTCACCGTACCCTAAATACCATGCACGGCCACATATAACCATTTCCTTTCAGGAGTTTATCAGGTGGAATGAGGCTGGTTTCCCAATCAAGCTCTTGGCTTTTTGCCGAGCCTCCATCAAAGATGACTACAGTTCACTCGTTGGGTTCAAATGTTCCTTCGGTGACAGGTAGCACAGGCAAATGACATCAAGCAAGCAGCAGAGATGCTGGCCCAACGAAAGGTAAACTAGAAAGTTTCCATCTGATCAGACATTAAGACAGACAACTTTTATAAAGGCCCAAGAGGCCTTAATGAAATTGTCATCCAGACATCTGGCAGCAAACCCAAGCCAGGTGGTTTATAATAGACAGAGAACTCAGTACTGCCTGCTGCAGCTTAAGTGTAACTTTCAGTAAAAACACAAGGCACACCTAGAGATGGCAGTGACCTCAGCTGATAGCACATTGGGGAGAACTCATAATCATCACTGAGGGTGTAAATCCCACTCTAGCCAGGCATAGTGCTGCACGTCTGTGATCCCAGCACTTAGAGAAGCTGAGGCAGGAGGATCGCCACAAGTTCAAGGCCAGTCTAGGCTACGTTGCGAATTCAAGGCCAGTCTGAACTACATAGCAACACCCTGTCTCAAAACCACCCCCCCAAAAGAAAGACTTGGGCATTAATTTCTCTCTCTCTCTTTTGTTTTTTGTTTTTGTTTTTGTTTTTTGGCTTTTTTTCCCCCACAAAATTGCTCAAACACTTACTATTACAGTACTATGTCGTGTTCTATGGTTTGCTTACTTGGGATTATTAAATTAATGTTGGTCACTGTTCCCTTTTTAATTTGTATTAGTACATGTGTGCAGTACAGAATCACTACATTCATTCTGAAAAGCCAGTACATGTACAAAACACAGCTTGATTCTTTTACCTTCCCTTTCCTTTCCATTCCCTCTGGCTGCATTTTTTTCCCTACCCTCCCTCCCATACCCCTATCACCTCCCTCCATTTTTTTTTTCTTTTCTATTTTGTATCTTTCATTTTTCTCTTTATTTATATTATGGGTTTCTCATATAAGAGAAACTATGCCATATTTAAGCTTGGGTGTCTGATTTATTTCACACAATATTATGGTTTCAAGGTGCATCCACATACCTGTAAATGACTCAAATTTATCCTTCGTTATGGCAGAGTAGTACTTTGTTGTGTATATCACATTTTCTTTATCTATTCTTCAGTTTGTGGAGGTTTAAACTAAGTCCCAGGGCCGGGGATTTAGCTCAGTGGTTCTGCTGCTTGCTTCACAAGCACAAGGTCTGGAGTTTGATCCCCAGTGCAAAAAAAAACAAAAAAAAACCTAAGTCCCAGATTCAGCTGTGAATTTTGCTGCTCTAAATATGCACTGTAATATCATGTCTTTAACTCTCTGGGGAAGATATGTAGGGAGGAAAGTAGTTGGGTCAAGTGGACTTTCTATTTTTAGTTTTTTGAAGACTCCATACTGACTTCCACAGCAGTTGTACTAGTTTACATTCCCACTAACAATGTAGAAGGCTTCCTTTTCCTCCCACAGCCTCCTCAGCATTTTTTACCTGACTTCTTCATGGTAGCTGCTTTTCCTAAAGATGAAATCTCAATGCAGTCTTAATTTGCATTCTCTGATAACCAGAGATGTTGAACATTTTTTCACATATTTATTGGCCATTTGTATTTCTTTTAAGAAGCGTCTGCTCATTTCAGTGGCCCATTTTTTGATTGGGTCTTTTGCCTATGGGGAGGTCTAATTTTTTTAGTTCTTTGTATATTCTAGGTATTAGTCCTCTGTCCAAGCAACATCTGGAAGATGTTTTCCTGTTATGTAAGTTGCGATTGTGTTGGTTATTTCCTTTGCTGTGCAAAGCTTTTTAAATTGATGTGATCCCATTGTCGATTCTGTGTCCTCTCTTGTGCAGCTGGCCTTCTGCTCAGAAAGTCCTTGCCTAACCTATGTCTTCAAGAGTTTTATCTACTTTATCTTTAAGCAGATTAAGTGTTTCTGTCTTAATATTTAGATCTTTGGTCCATTTTTATTTTAGTTTAGTGCATGGTGAGAGATTTGGGTCTAGTTCAATATCTGACATGTAGTTAGCCAGTTTTACCAACCACTATTTGTTAAAGAGGTTATCTTTCCTCCAGTGTAAGTTTTTGGCTACTTTGTCAAAGATCAGATAGCTAAATGTACTTGGAACTTTTTTCTTTTTTTCCCCCCCTTGGTACCAGGGATTGAACTTGGGTCCTTGAGCTTGCAAGGCAGGCAGAGGAACCACTGAGCCAAATCCCCAGCCTCTGTGCTTGGAATCTGTATCCTCTATTCTGTTCCAGTGATCCACATATCAGTTGGTTTGTTTGCCAGTGTCATGCTGGTGTTTATCACGGTAGTTTTGTAGTATAACTTGAAGTCTGGAATTGTGACTCCTCCTGATTTGCTCTTCTTACCCAGGATTGTTTTTGCTATTGCAGTTCTCATCTGGTTCCACATGAATTTTAGGGTTGTTTTCTCTAGTTTTGTGATGAATGCTTTTGGTATTTTGATTAGGATTGTGTTAAATCTGTATATCAGTTTTGGAAGTATGGCCATTTTGACTACATCCAGGAACAGTAGATATCTTTCCTTTTTTTTTTTTTCGGTACTGGGGATCAAACTCAGGGCCTTGTGCTTGCAAGTCAGGCATGGTGCCACTGAGCTAAATCCCCAGCCCTATCTTTCATTTTCTGATGTTCTCTTCAATCCCCCTTTCCAGAGTACCATAGTTTTTGTTGTAGAGGGCTTTCATTTCCTTAATTAGGTTAATTCCTAGGCATTTAATGTTTCTTGATGCTATTGTGAAAGGTATTTCCCTAATTTCTTTCTCAGTGAGTTTATTACTGATATGCAGATTGAGTTTTGTGTGTTAACTTCATATCCTGCTATGCTACTGAATTTGGTTATTGATTCTAGGAGTCTTTGGGTGGAATTTTTTTAGGTCTTCTGTGTAAAGCATCATATCATTTGCAAATAATGATAATTTGACTTCTTCCTTTTCCGTACATATCCCTTTTGTGTCTTTCTGGAATTTAGCTCAGTGTCACCGCAACTGCCTCTCAAGCCCAAGGTCCTGAGTTCAATCGCCAGTAATGGTAGACAAACACGAAAAAAAAAAAAAAAAAATATATATATATATATATATATATATATACACACATATATACATACATACATACATACATACAGAGAGAGAGAGAAATATCAAGGTGGGTGTGGTGGTGCACACTTGTAATTCTAGCATGTGAGAGGCTGAGGCAGCAGGATTGCCAAAAGGTCAAGGCCAACCTGGGCTACACGGTGAGTTCAAAGCCAGCCTGAGCCACATAGCGAGACCTTGCCTCAAAAAAAAAAAAGAGTCACTACTAATAATAAAAAAGAAAGCCGAAAATAGAACTAGTCTAATAGGTTAAGTGTAGAAAAGTGAAGGTGCAGAAGTCAAGGATAGAGTGTCTTTTAAAAAAAAACTTCCGTTGTGGATTTGACCCATACAGGGAAATATACTCTCCTGGTATTACAGTAATAGCACTGCTCCCCATCCTGGCCTCAGCATCATATTCGTATATCAAAGAACCAAAGCATGAAGGAAGGAATGGTTGAGCACAATTTGTTCTAATAACCCTCCACAGCCATGTGATGATAGGTCAGCTCTATTCTTCAGATATATCAATGACAGCATATTTCCTGGTATTAGAAAGACATTAAGAATTAGGCCAGGCCAGGGGTTTAGCTCAGTGGTGCTGCCACCTGCCTCACAAGCACAAGGATCCAAGTTCGATCCCCAGTGCCAAATAAAAAAGAATTAATGGTCATTTTGTAATTGTTGGAAGTCTAGTTTTTGCGAATTAAATTCTGCTCCTTGTGACTGAATTTGTTTTCCTCAGATCCTAATAAATGCTAATAAAGACTAAAAAAAAAACCTGCTAAGTTTAAGTCTTTTCATAATGAAGCCTAATAATGAAATGGTAAAGACAAAATTTTATGAACTCAAAATCACAAACCAGACTGAACTTCTGACAACCAACTAAAACATATGGAATTCTTCAGCTTCCTAAGCACTATATAACTGATATCACCCTGAACTCTGCCTTTGTGAAAGTTGAAGGATAACTCTTCATTTGTCAAGTTCTTGGGTGGCTTATAGAAAACAATTTTTTAAATATTGCAATCCAAGATCTAATTTAGGAGCAACATATAGGTGTAACAGGTGTATGAGTCCTATCAGAGTGACTGCTGAATTTTAACATATCCAAAAATCAGAATGTGCAAACACCTTAGTTGTACACATATTTAATAATTCTTTTATTTAAATTCATGAATTGCAAAAATATCATCTGGATTTTTTACACTTGATCTGGTCTGCATGCTGTAGCTCATCTAGAACATTTCTAATGCTCTCAACACAAACTTCTCCTCTGTGATGTTTTTTCGATGCAAGATTCCATACATTTTCAAATTCTTCTTCCGAAAGCTTGACACCAATGTTACGTAGAATCTCTGCAATCTAGAACAAAGCATTTAAGAACTAAAATATGCATGTTTTTAAAAATATATTTTAAAATCTTTACAACATCTAAGGTTATGGGTATTTATACCACAAGTGTGTGTGTGTGCATATATGTGTAGTAGGCATTTGTATAAACTATGTATATAAAATAAGAAAAGATCATTTTACTTGTATCTCAGGAATCATTTTTTATTATGAATATAGGATATTCAGCTGTACTAACCAATATACACAATTACTTTCAATTCTAAATGTTTCTGATTCTTTGATAGAAAAGCAGCAAAATTCAAGTAAAAAGTGTAAAGATAGATGATATACTAGATGACTTTGACCTGAGTTATTTATTGTCATTATGATTTTGCATATCCCCAGTAAGTCCCTTGGATATTTATTTTCTCTGCTTTAAATTTAAACATACATATATATAAAATATTATATAATATATAGTATAATGTGTTATAATATGTAATGTGTAGTGATATATTATACATATATAATATAGTGTGTGTGTGTGTGTGTGTGTGTGTGTGCGCACGCGTATGGGGAGGGGTGGTGAGAGAGAGAATATGAACCCAGGGCTTTCGCACAGAGCTACATACCTAGCCCTTTTTTATTTTTTATTTTGAAATAAGATCTTGCTACATCACTAAATTGCCTAATCTGGGCTCAAACTTGAGATCCTACTGCCTCAGCCATCTAGAGTGTTGGGATTACAGGTGTGCATCATCTCATCCACCCTAAAACAGGTATATTTATAAAAGACATCTAACTGGCCTGCTGTGAACTTCAATCACAGTCACAATTGGGCAAGTACCAGAGAGATAATGCACATGTAATCAACTGAGCATACTAGAAGCTCAACACACTGAAAACCAGCACATTGGTGACTGATAACCTCTCTGCAGTGATAACTATTAAAAGAGATAGAGCCAGGGGATTTAGCTCAGTAGTTCTGCTGCCTGCCTCACAAGCACAAGGTCATGAATTCATTCCCAGTACTGAAAAAAAATTAAAAATTCAAAAATAAATTCTGAAATTTAGAAAGGGAGATGGGGGTGGTAGTAGGGTTAGGGATATGGGTCATTGTGAAGGCCCTAAAGTAAATTCCTAGGACAGTAAAAAAGAAAGAAAAAAGAGAAAAATGAATGAATGGGAAGAGGGAATAAAAAATATGAAAATAAAATTTTAAAAGGAACTAAATTTGAAACTTCCAGGAAGACAGTGGAGTGGTGAACAGCCTTTCTAAGATTTGGTGTCCATGTGCTGTAATGTGGCACTGCAAAGAAGAGAAGAGAAATGGGTCCTTGGGACCCAGCAAGGATCTGAAGTAAGAACTGAAGCCCATGGGGAGAACAAAAAGAGAGCAGAAGAAGGAGATGGCACGCATCACTTTCACCTGAACCCTGACTCACTGTGTGGGAAGGTTGTCTTGAACCTATAGACACACAGTAGCTACTGGCTACCCATGAGTCCTCCATAGAGAAACACACCAGTGTAACAGAGCAGGGGATGCAGTGGAGTGCAGTGGCTGGTGACTTATTTGAGTTCACAGGTCCCCCAAGAGAGGGTGATTGGCCAGTAGCCATCTTGAAAAGAGGCCAATTGAGCTGAGAATGCACAGCAGCTGCAAGCTGGCTCCATCTAGTTGCTCTCATTGTCAGGATGAGGCAGAACCAAGTTCAAGTCAGAAGAGGCCAAGGAGCCAAGTTCAAGAAGACAGGAGGCACATGGACTGTTGCAAGCTGAACAAATCAGGCTCCAGCCTCACAGCCAGAAACCAACCTGAACATTGAAACTAAAGGTTCAGGCTTTCTGGGATTATCCACTACCCTGCCATAAATCCATGACTCACTTGCTGTGATTAATCAATATGGATCTGGGCTCTGTCTGCCCACTCTGTCTATCAGGGACAGCAGAGATACATCCTGAAGTGGACATTCTTTTTTCTTTTCTTCTTCTTTTTCTCTCTTGATCATTTGTTCTTCTATTCATATGAATGTAAACATTGTTTCCAGTTTTCTGTTGTTGTTCTGTTCTGTTTTTGTTTTTATTTCTTCTTCTCTCTTTCCCTATCTTCTCCTCTAGTTTCTCAAAGTTTGCACAATTTCCTTTGTCCTCCAGCCTTGCTTCTAAGCTCTGCTTCTTCATCTATTTCTCTATTTTCCCCCCTAACCTCTTTTAAATTTTCTCCCCTGAGGGTAAAATCACAATATGGAGGACATATGTACTGTATAAAATTTTCTGGTTTGTTTTAGATTGTGTTATATAACCACAAATACAATTCATATAGTTAAAGGGTGCAAATTAACCACAGTTTGTCATTTTCTAGGCTGTGTTTGATGCTATTGTTGTTGCTGATTATACTATTTCAGCTAAGATGATATAATTGTTCTAATTGTTGTCCTGACATAGTTGTCCCTCCTGGTATGCCAAGACCGAGATTATCTAACCATCAAAAACAATAGGCCAGTGCCATAGAACCAGAGGCTAGGCCAAACATGCAGCAACTTCTCATCCTCAATAAATTAAAGAGGAAGGCTCTTGCAACAGACTCAAAACCCAAAAGCCAGCTATACCCGGAAGATATCTCTGAAAAGCAGTCATTTTCTAAGGGTTCTCAGCATTAGCAATAAAGCTACCTGCCATAAGCAATTTACAAGCATCAACCCACGAATTAAACTTTTTAAAAATGCAAAATGAAAAGATACATAAGCAAGATGAAACCCCAGAATTCTAGCTTGCCAAAAGCAAACCCAGGGGACAATGAGGTGGAACAATTTGAAAGCCACACACCTGGACTCTCTAAAGTGGTAACAGCATAAGTAACAAAGCAGATGAATAAGGCACTGAAAAAATAATGTTATCAACTAACTACAGAGATAGTTACTTATAATGAAAGACATGGTCAGTGACTGTAGAGCAGAAACAGATTTTTTAAAAATAGAGGAGTTTAAGAAAATGATGGAAACCATGAACACCCAACAAAGGAAAGAAATGGAATACATGGCACCGATTCAAACAGATATCTAGGAGATTAAAAATTCCACTGAAAGTATAACAAAGCAGAATGAGCCAAGGAAAAAGAAAATAGGAAGACCATGAAAAATCAATCCAATAGCTGCTAGATGATGAAAAAAGAATAACATAATATTGAAGATATACTCCTAAGTGAAATAAATAAGTCACACATGTGTAAATACCAAATAGTTTCACTGGTGTGAATAATCTGCAATAATACAGAAGATCCTAATAAGATTACTGACCTTTAGAAATGGGAAGAAAGGAGCTCAAGGTGTAGGGAAGGTGGGATGGGTAGGGGAAGGGTAATAAGGGAAAAGAAAAAAATGTGAGATTATGAAAAGATGAAAATAAAGTGTTTGTAGATGGGGAGGGGAGGAGGGGGTGAAGGGAGGGCAGGGGTAAGGGGAAAAAATGAGAATCAAGACTTGTCATGTAGAGGTACAAGATCCCAACAATGAATGTAACTGTACTGTATCCCTAAAATGTACCAATAAACTCAATTAAAGGTGAAAAAAAAAAAAGAACATAAGATGAATGGCAGTCAGTCAAAAAGCAGGAGACAGTGCAAATGACGTTTTTTTAAAAAAACTGTTCAAGAGAACTCCAATTAGCCATGTTTAAAAAGAAAAACGACACATAGGCATATTATAATCAAAATTCCAGAAATTGAACACAAGAATAGAATATTAAAAGCTGTTAGAGAAAAGAAACAAATCACTTTTAAAGGAAAATCCATCAGACTAACAGCAGACTTCTCCACATAAACACATAAGTTAAGGAGTGCTCGGATTGGATTATTTCAAGCCCTACAAGGAAACAACCTCTAAGATATACCCCACAAAACTCAAAATTGATGGAGAGGGGCCAGGGATTTGGTTCAGTGGTTCCTCTGCCTGCCTTGCAAGCACAAGGGCCCAAATTTGATTCCCAGTACCACAAAAAACTAAATAAGTAAATAAATAACAACCAATGGGTCACAGATGAAATTAAAGAAGTAACTCGGGGCGGGATGTAACTCATGGCACAAAGCCCACCTGGGTTCAATTCCCCATACCAAAAAAAAAAAAAAAAAAAAAGTGGGAAAAAAGTCCCTTAAAAGAAAGAAAACATTAGACAGTTTCTATAAATAAATTATTTTTTAAACCCTACAGAAAATTAGAAGAGATGGTCCTTAGTTCAATCTGTTAAAAGCCATCTATGACAAAGCAACAGCCAACATCATACTAAATGGACTAAAACTGAAAATTTTCACTCTAAAATCTGGGACAAGAATGTTCACTATCACCACTCTTATTCAATATAGTTCTGGAAACATTAGCCAGAGAAATTAGATAAGACAAAGAAATTAAAGGAATGAGGGTAGGAAAGGAAGAAGTTAAATTATCATTATTTGTCAATGACATGACACTCTACATAGAAGACCCCAAAAACTCTACTGAAAGACTTCTAGATTAATAACTAAATTCAGTGGCACAGCTGGATATGATGTCAACATTCAAAAATCAACAGCATTTCTGTACATAAATAACAAACTCCTGAGGGAGAAATTAGGGAAACAATACCTTTCACGATAACATCAAAAAAAAGAAAGAAAACCTAGGAATCAACTTAATGAAGGAAGTAAAAGAATTCTACATTGAAAACTATAATACTCTGGAAAAGGAAATTTTAAAAATATATCAGAAAATAGAAAGATATTTCTTGTTCTTGGGTAGGAAGAACCCACAGTGTGAAAATGGCCATATCTCCAAAATTCTTAGAGGTTTAATGCAATCCTGATCAAAATACCAATAGCATAACTCACAGAATTAGAGAAAATAATCCTAAAATTTATTTGGAACCAGAAGAGTTCTAGAATAGCAGATGAAATTCTAGGCAACAATGACAAAGAAGGGGGCATCACAATCTCTGGTTTTAAATTATACTACAAAGCAGCTACTGTGATAAAAACAACATGGTGTTGGCAAAAAAAAAAAAAAAAAAAAAAAAAAAAAAAACAGACCCAAGGATCAATGGAACTGATTAGAAAATGCAGAAACAACCCTGTTGTGGTCAGGGTTTGCAAGGGAATAGATTAACTACAGGATATATAAGTTATAGGATTATTTTACAATACTCACCCATAAAGTCAAATGCAGAGGAGTGCAAGAGATCTTTCCACACACCAGAGACCCAAAGAATCCAGCAAAGGGCCTGGGTCCCACAGCAATGTCCCACACAAATCCAGCTGAAGGCCTAGGATCCAAGGCTATGTCCTCCATCGGTCCAGCCAAAGGCCTAGAGCCCACATAATGTCTCCTGTTTGTCCATAGGATCTGTACCAGGAAGGCCCAAAGGCCACTAGTAGAAGCTGGAAAGCCTGCACTGATGAGATGAAGGATTGGTGCCACCAGGCTGAGGGACCTATACTGGGGTTCACGGCAAAGATCAGAGCTCCCCTGACAAGAACAGCAGCCATTCCCAGCAACAGCAAGGACCCCAGCTCCTCCTACAATGAGAGAACAGCCAAGTCCGCGTCAGGAAAATCACCCACAGCAAGCTTCCCCAAGAAAGTCAACAGCCAACCATCTTCCCCTCCAGTTCTCTTTTTATGCCCTTGGCAACAATCTTCAGGTGCATCTTCTACACCCAAACTACACTGGTTCAGTTCAGCTTGGTGTTCCAAGTTGGCCATTAGTTAATCCACCACAAACCCCAAACACACTCACGTTTTATCTCTGACAAAGGAGCCCCACACCCTCATTGGAAGAAAGATAGCCTCTTTAGTAAATGGTGCTGGAAAAAAACTGGCTTTCCACATGCCAAAGATTAAAACTAGACCCATATCTTTCACCATGCACTAAACTCAAATCAAAATGGATCAAAGATCTAAATATTAAAACAGAAACACTAAACCTGCCAGAAGATAGAACAGGTGGACCTTTTGAAGACACTGGCATAGGCAAAGACTTTATAAACAAAACCTCAGTCACACAGGAACTATCCCAAAGAATCAACAACTGGGATCTCTTCTTATTAAAAAGCTTTTACAGGAGAAATAGGTGAGGGCACCTTGGGGCAGGTGGGAAACAGAGCGCTGGGCATATGGAGAGGGTGGAGGGCAAATGAAGATGACCCTAGGGAAAACAATTAACAATAAAAAGCTTGTACACAGTGAAAGAAACCATCAACACAGTGAAGAGACAACCCACAGTATGGGAGAAAATTGTTGGCAGCCGTTCCTCAAAGAACTAATATCTAGGGCCAGGATTTAGTTCAGTGGTACTGTGCCTATCTCACAGGCACAAGGTCCTGAGTTTGATCCTGGTACCAAAACACAAACACACACACACACACACACACACACACACACACACACACACACACACACACACAAAGGACTAATACCTAGAATTTATAAAGAATTCAAAAAAGTCAGATCCCCCCCAACTTTAAAGACCCAATCCAAAAATGGGCATCTGAAATGAACAGACACTTCCCAGATAAAGTACGAACAGCAAATAAATATATGAAATATTTACTGGTCATTTGAGAGATGCAAATTAAAACAATGCTGAGATCCCATCTTGCTCCTGAAAAAAATGTTCACTATCAAGAAATTAAGCCAAGCGTGGTGGCGCATGCCTGTAATCCCAGCACTCAGGAGGCTGAGGCAGGAGGATCGCTGTGAGTTCCAGACCAGCCTGGGCTACATAGTGAATTCCAGGTCAGTCTCAACTACATAGTGAGACCCTGTCTCAAAAAAACAAAAAAAGAAAGAAAGAAAGAAAGAAATTAAGGGGCCGGGATTTGGCTCAGTGGTTCTGCTGCCTGCCTCAAAAGCACAAGGGCCTGAGTTTGATCCCCAGTACCAAAAAAACAAACAAACAAAAAAGAAAATTAACCAATAACAAATGCTGGCAGGGCTGTGGGGAAAAATTAATCCTTCTCCATTGTTGGTGGGGGTGCAGGCTGGTGCAACCACTGCAGAAATCAGTGTGGAGAGTTCTCAAAAAAATTAAAATTACAGGAGCCCTTTAACCCAGCTACTCCCCTTCTGGGTACGTTCCCGAAAGAATTAAAAGCATCATACCACAGTGATATATGTGCACCCATGTTTATAGCAGCAGAGTTTGTAATAGCTAAAACTTGGAAACAGCACAAATGTGCATCAACTAACAAATGGATTAAGATTTTTTTTAATAAAATGGAGCACTGTGCTGCCATAAAAAAGGATAAGCTTGAGTCATTTATAGTTAAATGCATGCAGCTTGAGACCATACTCTTAAGTGAAATAAATGAGACACATGGTTAAATAGCAAATTGTTTCTCTGGTGTGAGAAACCAAAAGTGTAAATAAGGACCAAAGTGTATAATGGATGTGGGAAATAGGAAGAAAATGTTCAATTGAGAAGGGGAACAGGGAGGGCAGAAGGGGAAAGGAAGAAAAGGAAAAAATGGAAATAAAGCTTTTGTAAATAAAAAGGGAAAGAAGGCGTCGAGGGAGAGGAGGAGCATGGGGGGAAAAAGAAGCAAGAGATATCCTTAGAGGTATAAATTCCCTATGATGAATGTCATCAGTATGTACATCTAAATACACCAAGAAAACTTTTTAAACAAATAAAATAAAAATAAATTAAATTTTAAAAAAGAAATACACTTATTGTGAATACAGACAAAAAGAGGAAAATGAGAAAAACTGAATAAAAAAACCCAAAGAGCCAGGGATTTGGCTCAGCTGTTCCACCACCTGCTGTGCAAGCACAAGGGCCTGAGTTCAATCCCTGGTACCAAATAATAATAATAATAAAATTTTTAAATCACTTCCTGAAAGGAAGCTTTAAAAAAAAGGAAGAAAGCCAAAGAAAGGGAATAGTTGCAAATTATGTCTATTAAACAGAAGGCCAACAATAAAAAAATAAAAACTGGAGTAAAAGGATTGAAAATGATCACGCTATGTTATGTGCCCAGATGTGATGGTGCACACCTGTAATCCCAGCACTCTGGGAGGCTGAGGCAGGAAGACTGCAAGTTTGAGCCCAGCTTGGGCAACTTAATGAGAGCCTATTTCACTCATAAATATTAAAAAAGGGGACTGGGGACCTAGCTCAGTGAGAAGGCCATTGGTTGAATTCCTGCTACAAAAACAGAGAGACAGAGAGAGAGAGAGAGAAAGAGAGAGAGAGAGAGAGAAAAGAAAGAAGTTATATACCAATTCCCCAAAATAAATATCACTCTTCTGTATTACAAATATGCAGTAATAATAAACAACTAATTTAAATAAATAAATATGTAAAGTGCCCTCAAAATGATGTGCCTTTGTGGACAAGTAGCAGTATAATCAAATGCTAAAAGTCTCAAGAGCAGAGCTGCCAGCGACTGCAGCGATACAGTAAAAACTGCCGTAGAAACACCCCACACCCACCTGCACTTACCCACCACTGTCCTGCCTGTGCACGGCAGGGGCCCCACTGATGTCCAGCCCCTCGGGAGGCACTCACTGCTCAGGCTGCAGCCAAAGCTAACCCTCAGGGAAACCTATGCACTCTCCACCTACTGTCAGCTCTCCAGTCCTTTTGGTCTAGTTGTGAGAAGGATGACTTCCTAGTCAGAATTTCTAGGCAGTATGAAACAAGCAGGAGACTTTTGTGGGGGTTTTGTAGTTGTTTGTTTTTTGGTTTGGATGTGTGTGTGTGTGTGTGTGTGTGTGTGTGTGTGTGTGTGTTTGCTTGGTTTCAAAGCTCATTTCACAAGCTTTTCAGAGTGACGGAGGGAAGTGAAAACAGCCTGGGAGCGTCTCTCCTCTGACCCAGGTGGTGTCAGTCCCCTGGCCTCCTCCTCTGAGTTCCTCTTCCTCTCTCTCCAACCTGGATGGCAAGGAATAGTGGAAATGAATCCGGACTTAGCCAGGCTTGGGGCCCTCGCCTCCGATCCCAGCCTTCTAGAGGCTCCCGAGTCCAGGATCAGCCAGGGTACACCCTGAGGTAGCAAGACCCCGTTCCAAAGTTTAAAATACAAAAAGGCTGAGGATGTAGCTCCACGGCAGGAGCACTTGCCTAGTACACGAAAAACCCTGGGTTTAACCCTGAGTACTGGAGAGACAGACAGAGAGAGAGAGAGAGAGAGAGAGAGAGAGAGAGAGAGAGAATATGCATGGCCTGACATGCTGCGGCAACAGTTCGGGTAATCTGAGACATAGGACAGGACTGGAGAGAGAGGACGGTACAGTGGCCCTCCTTGTGCCTACTCTGTGATTTTAGAGGCCCCTAGGCCATCGGGATTCTTGTGCAAGGATGGGGCTGGTCCTTTTCCCTTTTCCCAATTAAGAACAGCACTGACTGCTTTAGAAAATACTCTTCTTTTTAATACATGGTCTATCATGAATACACAACATGAATGATGTGCTTCCTGTCACATACTATATGATATCTAAAGGTAATAATATAGACTGTTCACCTTCCTTGTGTGGAGTTGGTACTTACACATCGCACATGTGAATTCCTTTTTTCATCTCCTTCCTTCCCTCCTTCCCCTGTCCTCCCATCTCTTGATCCCCTTGCTTTTGTCTGTCTTGTTTTGTTTTTTAGAAACGTTTGCAGGACACAATGTCTATTCCTAGTGAGGAGTTGGTACATGTACATAAAACACCCCAATTTCTGTTTTCATCCCTTATCCCTTTCCTCCTTCTCCCCCTTGATCCCCTTTCCTTGAGCAAAATGAAGGACAGGGTAATAGGAAGCGGGGAGACAGATCTTTCTCCAAATAAATTCCTATTCGATAATTGTTCCAAACAATGACTTGTACTAGAATGTCACAAGCAAACTGAACATTACTCATCGTTACTCCTATTTTGCGGGATCCTGAGACTTTTATACTATAAAAGCTATAATCTTTTAAAGTCTAAAATAATAATGGATATGTCAGCATTTCCATCTTTGTTGCTGTACCTCTTCTTTTGATCTGGTCTTGAAGAAGTCTCTTTCAAACACTCCTTTCTGGGCAAAGATGGTTGGATGCAGTAAAGAATAAGCATTGCCTTCTTCACCATAATTAGTTCTATCACTGATGCGACGAACTCGAGGGGCAGGAATATCAGATCGAATGGTTGGAACACCATGGATGGGGTAACCTTGGTCAGGAGAGAAGACACACATTGTAAGACTAAGCTGTAGAACACAATAGCCACTAGCCACGTGTGGTTACTGACACTCAGAATGTGGCTAGTATCAACTGCAATGTGCTTTAAGAGCAAAATCCAGTCCCGGTACAAAAGGAAGAATGCAAAGCCAGACGTGGTGACACACGCCTGTAATCCCAGTGCTTGGGAGGCTGAGGTGGGAGGATCACCATGAGTTCAAGGCCAGCCTGGGCTACATAGTGAGTTCAAAGCCTGCCTGAACTACACAGTGAGACTCTTGTCTCAAAAAAAAAAAAAGGTTGCAAAATATTTAATGGTGAAATGCTGGAATGAAGCATTGGATGTATGCACCAGCAAAATTAATTTCACCCATTCCTGGTTTTTTGTTTTTTGTTTTTTGTTTTTTTGAGACAGGGTATCAGTATGTAGTTGAGACTGACTTGGAATTCACTATGTAGCCCAGGCTGGTCTCAAACTCATAGCCATCCTCCTGCCTCGCACCACCACGACCGGCCATTCCTGTTTTAATGTACTAGAAATCTTTATAATGCACAGAATATTCAAATTACATTTGTCCTGACAGCATTATTCCAAATGGAGTGGTAGATCTCATTACACTAGAATGTGTAACATGTCTATAAAATCCAGTTGACAGGACTGGGGATTTAGCTCAATGGCCTGCCTCACAAGTGCAAGGTCATGAGTTCCATCCCTGGTACTGGGGGAAAAGAAATACAGTTGACAAAAATATGTAAATCTTTCATCATCTCCTTAGTCCACTGAATTACACAGTGAGACCCTGTCTCAAAAAAACAAACAAACAAACAAACAAAAAACTTGACAAATAAGAGGAGACACTTACAGATAGAAGGAACAGCTCCCACAACTGCACTGATCTCAGAAGAGCTTGTCTTGTAGCAATCAAACACTTTATCACCAGGTCTCTGAAGTGTCCGGAGCGTCTTTTCAGAGCTCCCTGGTTCTTTTAAGACAGTATCTTCAGGCTTTATCAGCAGAGCAGGCTTAGTCTCTTCCACGTTAGCCTCCTCAGGGCTTGCACAATCTGGTTGTCTACCTTCAAGAAAAATGGGAAAGAAGAAAAGCACAGGAGGACAACGTTCTTATGTGGCACCTGCTGCTCTGCAACTGCTGAGCTTTGTATGTGTTCTCTTCCAGTGGAAGCTGAGCAAAGACGAAGCCACAAGTGACACCAGTACAGCACTGCAGGCCAACGCCATGCACCAGATAACCAGAAAGGCCTCATACTGTCTCTTGCCATTCCACTTACTTTATCCTAGAATAAAGCTTTCAAATCAAAGAAACCAAAAGTTATCACAGAACCTACTCTTTTCCTTCCTCTTTTTTTTTTCTTTTGTTTGTTTGTTTGTTTGTTTATCTTTTGAGACAGGGTCCCACTATGTAGTTGAGACTGACCTGGTACTCACTATGTAGCCCAGGCTGGTCTCGAACTCACAGCAATCCTCCTGCCTCAGCCTCCCAAGTAATGGGATCACAGGCTTGTGCCACCACACGCGGCTTTTTTGTTTTCTTTAATTAGAGGTTATTCTCATAACTTGAACTACAGAGTTATTCCTAGGACTGTGTCACAGGGAAAGATAGAAGAAAACACATTCGGCGTTGAAAGTTCCATACACTTGCCTAGGGGCTGGGAAACGTGTTTTTCAGCACACAGAGAGGTATGAGAGCTGTGAGCGCAGGAGTCCATTACATAACCAACCCTACTAATTGCAATATAAAGAAAATCGAGGGCTAAGGTGGGGCTCAGTGCAGAGGGGTGTGATTATCATGCACAAAGCCCTAGGTTCAACTCCCAACACCAAATGGCGGGGGGGGGCGGGGGGGCTTCTCTGCAAATTTGCTTTGAGGAGTTAATTCTCAAATTTAAGAGTAAATTCCTACGGCATCCTTTTCAAAGAGCCTGCTACTCCACAGACACCACTAGAGGGCACTGTGGTATTTGAATCTCCAAAAAGACCATAAAGTTAAGGAAAGTCCAAGCAAGGGTTGTAAAAGCAAGCAGCTTGCCAATATCAAAGAAAGGCAGGGAATGTGGCAAATCAGAAAATGAAACTTCAACCAGACTACTGGCGCCTATCTGTAATCCTGGCACTTGGGAGGCTGAGACAGGAGGATCATCAGGAGTTCAATGCTAGCCTGGGCAACCTAATGAATCCAAGACCAGCCTGAACACCAATAGCAAGACATTGTCTCAAAAAAGCCAAGAGGGAGCAGGGAGTGATGGGAAATGCCTGTGATCCCAGCACTCCAGGAGGCTGAGGCAGGAGGATCGCTGTGAGTTCGAGACCATCCTGGAATACGTAGTGAGTTCTAGGTGAGTCTCAACTACCTAGTGAAAACCTGTCTCAAAAAAACAAACAAACAAAAAAAAAGCCAAGAGGGGGGAAAAAAAGAAGAAAAGAAAATACATGCCTCTCTAAAAGAAAATGCATGTACAATTTTTGTCATAAAAGCATTCAGATCCAGAGTTCCACAGCCTCTAAAACTCCCCCAGCCACTGCACAACAAAAAGCAGAAATCTGGGCAAAGTCTGAAAACCAGTTCCTCAGGAAACTGAAAACCACTGCTTTAGAGAACTTATCCCCTTCCTTCCCAAAGACCTGTAAGGCACAATTAGATAATGAAAATCATAGTGAAACATTCCTGGGCCCCTCCGGTACCTACTGGCCATAACACGCAGTTTCTACCCTACTTCCTTAGAAGATGAAAGCCTTATGAACTCCACTGAAAACGGCTGAAGTTGGGATCCAAAAAGCAAGAACAATTTGAAGAACTATCTCATTTGTCAAGAGGTTCCTGCGTCCCCCGCGAGTTACTCCCAGAAGAGGGAAACCGGTCTCCCTCCTTATCTCTGAAAGAGTCGGGGTTGAGATGTTTTCTATAAAAAGCGCCATCAGGTAGATAAAATTCTGCTGCTGAGTGAGAGGAATCGAAGGGTTGTTACAGACGACATGAAGGGCTTACATCATCGATAAAGACCGAGGCCTTGCACAGAGGGACGACCCAGGCCAACAAAGAGAAATGGTAGGTCTCTGCTGTTCAGAGGAGAGATATTCAAAGGGGAAATAAAAATGTAAACAACCTTTTTAAGAAGTTAATCCTCTCTAATAATCAAGTTACGAAAATCAAAGCAAATGAGGTATCATTATATACCAACTAAATTATAATCGTGTGAAATAACGCTCAATGGTAGCAAGATTAGAGTAAAACCTTCTCACAGGCTAGGGTGATAAAATTGCAAATTGGTACAATCATTTAGAAAAGCAAAATGAAAAGAGAAAGAGTTACTTCTGGGACAATAATAACATTCATAAGAAATGAGATATAATTAGAAATAGAAAGCTTTTCAAGAGATGATGATCATAGCATTACCCATATCACAGTTACAATATCTAGAAGCAACCTAAATTTCAAAGACTGAAGAAATTATTTAGTAAATCACAGTAGACAAGCATGAGGGAGCTGAAAGTGGAGTTTATAGAAACCATAAAAACATCTCTTCACACCACTGAAACTTGAAAGCTAAGGTTTATTTTCTTCCTCTTCCTTTTTGTTTTGTTGTTTTTATTTCAAAACCTAAGTTTTAAAAAACCAAGTAGAAATGGTACGTTCACTGTTATTTTAGATATGTCTAAAATATATGCATATATACATTTTCATGCATCTATTTCTCTATATCAGCAAGGATACAGGAGAATAATGTGTAAACATGAAAACATAGGAATCAAAAATGAAAATTATAGGGGCCAGGGATTTAGCTCAGTGGTTCTGCTGCTGGCCTCGCAAGCAGTTTGATCCCCGGTGCCAGAAAAAGAAGACAAAGAAAAAGTAAAAATTATGGGGTTTTTATTTTTATGCGATTTTTGTTGGATTTTGTTTTTTGTTTTCTGAGGCAGAGTCTTGCTGCATAGTCCAGCCTGGCCTCCAACTTGCAGACCTTCTATCTCAGCCTCCCAAATGCTGGGACCATAGTCATGGGCCAGCATACCCAGCTGTGCAGAATCTTTTTATCACACTGGGGGTTGAACCCACAACCTTTGTACTGAACTATATCTCAAGCCTTTTTTTAATTTTTTTTTTTTTTTTGGTACCGGGGAACAAACTCAGGTCCTTGCGCATGCAAGGCAAGTGGCAGAACCACTGAGCTACATCCCTGCGCCCCCCTTTTTGAGACAAGGTCTCACTAAGTTGCTGAATTGCCCAGACTAGGTTTGATTTGTGATCCTCCTGCCTCAGTACCCCAGAATGCTGGGATTACAGGTGCGCACCACCACACCCCACTCCAGCAGTACAAAAAATTTTTAAATCCTTTTTTGTTTGTTTTTGTCAAAACCTCCAATAGGTTCTGACAAATATTTATATATATAATTATAAATATAATAAAAACATTTAAGTCTGGGCATGGTGGTGCACACCTATAATCCCAGCACTCAGGAGGCTGAGGCAGGAGGATCGCTGTGAGTTCAAGACAGCCTGGGCTACATAGTGAGTTCCAGGTCAGTCTCAACTACATAGTGAGACCCTCTCTCAAAAAAACAAACAAACAAACAAAAAAAAAACATATTGGGACTGGGGATTTATCTCAGTGGTTCTTCCACCTGCCTTGCAAGCGCAAGGTCCTGAGTTCAATCCCCAGTACAAAGAAAAAAAAACTATTGCACTATCATATTTTCCTGATGAAAGGTAGCTAATTACTCTAAGAGTAATTTTTAAGGAATTTCTTTAAGAACTACGTTTGGAACTTCTATATACATTTTACTTCCCTTTTTTCAAGTAGTGGGGATCAAACCCAGGGCACTGTATCACTGAGCTACATTCCCACCCTGTCTTACTTTTTTATTTTGAGAGTAGGTCTCATTAAATTCTCAGGCAGGCCTTGAATTTAGAGTTATCCTGCCTCAGCCTCCTCAGTAGCTGAGATTACAGGCAGGCACTACCATATCTGGCTGCTTTCATTTTTAAATAATAATATATGGTTCTGGGTTCAAAAGACATAAAACATACAGATATAAAACATGCGTCTCATTACCACCTTGTTCCTTATTCAGCTAATTTCCTCTCCCTGTGAATAACAAATGTTATTGGTATCTTTCTATCCTTCCACAAATATTCTGTGCATAGCAGATAAATGATATACATATGTGTGTACTTTTTCTTTTTTATATAATATTAAAATTGGTAAGGGCGGGGATTTAGCTCAGTGGTTCTGGTGACTGCTTTGCAAGCGCAAGGACCTGAGTTCTATCCCTGGTACCCCCCCAAAAAAAATTGGTGAGAGTTGAGCTCCTAAAATAATGAAAATATGAGAGCCTATTTTAGAATTCAACAGACTTCAACTATTAATTACCTTTGCCCACATGTAGCACACACTTATAATCCCAGCGCTCACGAGGCTGAGGCAGGAGGATTGCCTGCAAGTTCAAGGCCAGCTTGGACTACATAGCGAGTTCTAGACCAGCCTGAAGTACCTAGTGAGACCCTGTCTCAAAAGCAAATAAATAAATGAAAATGAAGATGAAATACCTTTCATAACGACTCTCTCTTCATACTCTTTAAGAAGCACACTGTCTTTCCAGTTAAGGAAATTGGCAAATTCCAGGTAGTTAATCAAGCCATCCTTGTCCACATCACAGTAGTCAAACAGCTGGCTGAGGAGCGTCTCGTCTAGATGCAGGTTGGCCTGGTCGCAGGCTTCCCGCAGCTCTGCTTTGTCAATGACCCCATCTCCCTTCTGCTAGACGTGAAGCAAGAAGAGACGGAGTAACGGGCCCTGTCTGCGAGGATCGCACTGGTCACTCTTTAGTTTAAGTAAAAAGAAATAGTCCGCCACACAACTCAAAGAATGTACCTGTTTTTACAAGGGAGGAGCCCAAGCCTGACCCTCACTGAGTCAGCCTGATGAAGACACAGAATAATTTGAACCCTGGTCAGAGAAGGGCCTGCCTTGGGACTTTTGTTCCTTCCCTTTTGTGTGTGGCATTGAGGATTAAAGCCAGGGCCTCACATTTGCCAAGCACATCCTCTGCCACCGAGCTACACTCCCAGCCCCCACTCTAGTTTAATCATTTTCTTTACATTATGCTGTCAGCATCGGGATAGCATGGGTACAATCACGACATCTGCTTTGCCATTTCATTTGACCAGTGCTATGTGCTCTTGACTACTTTGTACAAAGTTTTTTTAGCACTTTCCATGTCTCAGCTGGGCCATAGATGGTCTTCACGTCAATGGGAGGTAGATTCAAAGACACTTGCCTGATTGTGCTTGGTAACACTCCTAGGGACAAGGAGAGACTGAGCTGTGTACAGTGGCCCATGCCTGCAATCCCAGCACCAGGGAGGCTGAGGCAGGAAGATCACCATGAGTTCCAGACCAACATGAGCTAGCAGTGAGTTCAAAGCCAGCCTGAAGTAAAGACCAAGATTCTGTGTCCAAACAAACAAGAAAATGCCAAACAGCCAATTTAACCCCTACTGCAACAATTAACACTATGATTCCCTCTGTCCAGGGGTACTAGCACATACCTGTAATTCCAGCTAGTGGAGTTCAGGAGGCAACAAAGCAACTTAGCAAGACTCTGACTCACAATAAAACATTTTTAAAAGGGTTGGGAGTGTACTTCAGTGCACAGGCCTTGGGCTCAATCCCTAGTATTGAAAAAATAATATGATTCAAAAAAATAGTAAGATTCATTCTGGCAGGGAGAGGAAAGGGAAAGTCTCTTTTCATAAAAGAGTTAAAGACAGGAGCACCTGCACTGAGCACGAATGGAGGGAAGGTCCGTGAGGGCTCTGAGCAGGAACTTCAGCTGGCTCCCCAGGTTGGTTTGTTTGTTGGTTTGTTTGTTTGGTACCGGGGATCAAACTCAGGACCTTGCACTTGCGAGGCAGGCAGTGGAACCACTGAGCCGAATCCCCGGCCCGGGCTGACTCACTCGGAAGGGGAAGGGACAGAGCACACAATGCTTGTTAAGGAAGAATGACAAGAGCTGAGGCATCTCAACCCTCAGCCCCCACAGAAGATGCTCAGACCAATCTTGAATCCATTCAGGGAGGACAGTGAAGAGCTGCTTGAGGACGAAGGTGCAGCTCAGTGATAGTCACCTGCCTACCACGTGCTCCAGCTCTGAGTTCAAGCCCCCAGTGTTTTAAGTTACTTTCTTTTTGCTGGGACAAACTGCCTGACACCTACGAGTTAAAGGATGAGAGGTTTATTTTGGCCCACGGTCTGTAGAGGTTTCAGCTCACAGTCAGCTGGCTCCAAGGCAGAGCAGCATGGCAGGGGGCATCGCAGAGGAGAAGCAGTCCATGGCGGGGTAGGCAGGGGGCAGGAAGCAGGAAACAGTGAGGCTCCTTTCCCTTTTTATTTCATCCTGGGCCAGGGGTTTAGCTCAGCGGTTCCACCACCTGCCTCACAAGCACAAGGTCCCGAGTTCGATCCCCAGTACCCTCCCCTCAAAAAGCAAAAAACAAAAACCTTTTTATTTCATCCAGACTACAAGCCTAGTCCCACCTACAGGTGAGATTCCCATTATCCACACCCAGAACCATGCTAAACCAATCAATAGACTAACCCAGTTATCATAGCCTTAATCCAATATCACATACTAATGATCCAACTACCTCCCAAAAGCCCCACCTATGAGTACACTGGGCTTGGGGGGTACATTTAGATACAAGCCATAACACCATACCAAAAAACAGTTTTTCATTTTATTGTTTATTTGTTGTAGTGGATTCTGGCTGCTCTACAGTTGCTTTGACTCCCACCCCTAGACCCAGAGAGACTCTCAAAAGAGAAATTATGAATGAATTGTTGAACAATATTCAAGCTCTAAGTGTCCAGGATTGATTTTACAATGCTGACGGAGGTGGGCCCCTGAAGAATGAGCCAGACACAATGAACACTACCTCCATTTCTGCAGTCAGGCCTGCAGCCCTAGAAAAGCCTAAGCCTCACGATGAAACAGAATATGAACTGAAAACATATTATCTTGTCAACACAGTTATAACTGGCTGGGGTTAATATAAACACATGTATAAAAAGTCTCTCTGCAGGCCAAAATCAGCCAAAACAAACCTCATACCCCTAGCTATAAGAGCTACTGAATCAAGAGGTTCACAAAACCAAAATAGACGCTGTCAGTAATGACGACATTGCTGCCAAATACAGGGGTTTGTGTAGACTGAAAACATGTGTGGTTTGTTTCACTGAGCTACATGCAACCACAATAGCCATGAGTTCACAGAGTTCACAGGGAAGAATAAAAGCCAACAATGGGGCTGGAGTGCTTGTTCACACAAACAAGGTCCTGGGTTCAATCCTCAGCACCAAAGAATAAATAAGCCAAAAAAGTATTACCACTGTGGCTTCTATGGCTGAATGGGTACTGATGTGCCACATGCCTGTGTTGAGAAAGCTCCTAAGTGTCAGAGGAGATTATCCTGATCTAGAAGACCTGCATTTAGAGAGTTGCTTGTACTTTGGGGCCCTCACAACCCTAATGACCTCTTGGAACTCAAAGTCCCCATTCCTGGTGATTCTGCTAATTAGAGCCTCTGGGAAAAAAAAAGACAATTCTGTGCCAAACTTGTGATCCCTGCCAAAAGTTGACTCATTTATCTTGTAGTGGGAGAAGAGGCATCACACAGAGAGACACTGCCCCAGGCCCCCAGCAGACTTTCCTGAACTGCCTCAGAACTACTGAAGGTGCCACTACCAATGCTGATGCTTTTTCGGGTTATGGAATTACTGTTCTACCCAATTATCTCCAGTCACAAAAGTAGGGCATGGTATGGCTTGTGTTTAGATGCCACCATCAAAGCCTCATATGTTTATAGGTGGGAGCTTTGGGAGGTGGATGCATCTAGCGTATGCGATACTTGGATTCAATTGTGTGGTGCTGGATTAAGGGTGTGTGATTCCTAAATTAGCTCACTGCTTGGTCTAATGTAGTTCTGGGTGTGGACAACAGGAAGGCTCACCCTGGGTATGGGTTGTACCACCCAAAAGGCAGGTAGCCTGGAAATGATAAAAGGAAGCAGCATTTGCTGCAGCTTGCTTGCTGCTTGCTGCTTTGCTATCTCTTGTCTTTTTGCCATGGACTGTTCCTCCTCTGTGATGCCCTTCTACTATGCCACCCTGCCTTGGAGCCGCTGACAATAGCCTTAAACTTCTACAAACTGTGAGCTGAAATAAACCTTTCCCCCTTAAAATTTGGATGGTGGGTATTTTGTCTCAGCAACAAGAAAACTAATTGCCAGGGGGAGTGGTGCGCACCTGTGATTCCAGGACTCAGGCAGCTCAGCCATGAGGATTGCTGTGAGTTTGAGGCCAGACTGAACTCCATAGTGAGACCCTATCTCAAAAAATAAAAACAAAAAGTAACTAAGACAGGATCCATGAAAGTATCTCAGTCTTTTTCTTTCTTTTCTGGCCTACTTTTAGTCTGATAATGATATACCTTATAGCACAAAAGCTACTCAACAATGAAATATCAGTTAAGGTGTTAAATGAAGCTTCCTGCTCCTTAACAGCCATTGCCATCTGGCATTATTGAGCATTAGAATAGCATTCTCAAAAACTGTCTAGCATTCTCACAAGCTGCTGGTCCACAGACATTACTAAACGCAGTTTGGTCCCTCAGTGCAGCTGTTCTCAACTGCTTCTTGAATAATAATCAAACTAAAAGGGGCGGGGATCATAAAGACCTCTTTGGAAAAATTCAAGATTCTGCCACAACCATTCCTGGTTATGGTACATCATTTTGCACCCAATAGCAACCCCAGACCAGTATGGTTCGTCCACTCACCTGGTAGCAACCAGGCACAAGGATTCTAGGGGCTAGGGATACAGCTCAGTAGTAAAGGGCTCTCAGCAAGAGCAAGACCCTCAGTTCAAATCCCAATACCACAAAAAAAGAGGGAGGGTATTCCAAAGGATCCAAACTTCATTTTATTCTGGCCACTTGATTCCCTTGATGGATTGATATGGTTCCAGCTCATAAGCATAATAACCACTTGATCGGGTGCACCGTTCTCCACATCTTCCCATGATGGTCAAAGCAGGGAATAAAATGCTTCTCTGGGCCTTTTCTAAAAAGAAATCTGCATTCCAGGCAGAAGGTCTAGGTGGGAAGAGGGGACGACTGGGGGAAAAGGTGAGGTTATTGTTACTGGAGCAAGACACACTGTCTTCATGGAACTGGATGGAGAGCAGCAATCAAGCTGTAGGAGAGAGACAATCTCAGACCCGGGATGCTCAGGGAAGAGGCGAGACTTATTTGTCTTCCAGCCTCTTCCCTGAAGACTGCATCAGGCAGGAAAAGCCATGGCACAGCTCTCCCACACTGTTGGAAATAACATGAGTTTGACTGACTGACTGACTGCCAAGCAGCTCTGCCCACAATTTGCTATTGCGGTGCTGGGGAATGAATGTCGGGCTTTGAGCCTGCGAGACACCCCCAGCCCTCTGTCCACAGCCCGAGCGCCATTCTCCTTGGTGTTACTGCAAAATCTACTGGGAACAGCAGAGCATGACCCGAATCACGGCACCTCCCACGCAGAACACCTCTGGTTATCTTCCTACACCCCCCTTTGGTCATTCCACAGGGTGGGGGAATACCATCAATGACTGCATGCCATCAGTGGCAGCTTGGGCAAACTCACTGCCCCCAAGCAGGCCCTCCAGAAACAAGTGCTGGAGACGATTACCCAACTGAGCTCTAAGAACCCTACGCCTACCAGCTGAGAACCCCAGGCCTCCCAGCAAAACGTATTTTAGGAGGCTATTCTAGCTTTACGTTAACAGCGTTTGCATATTGGCAACTAATGTTTTCCTTAAGTGAGCACAAATTACCAGGTTCTACCTATGCTTAATTAGACAATTAATTAAAAGAGAAAAGAATCAGCTAACTTGCATTGCTAAGAACATCCATCCTGCATTACATAGTGTACTATCGCTAAAAGCCAAAAGCCCCTGGCGATTTTGAGTTGATCACAGTACCTGGCCCTCATTCTTCTACGGGGGTGCGCTGTGTGTGTTTAACAACTGGCTCTTTGGGAGCTGGGGTGGACAGGAGCCTGCTCTGCTAGTGGTGTAAGTGCTGTGATCAAGGTCAGTCTCAACTACCACCGGGAGTCGGCTGCCTTGCAAACTTCCTGAACTGTGAACAGTATGCTCTCTCCAGCCCAATCTAGCACACCACAGCCATTTTCGTTGATGGTTAACTCCTCCAGATTTCAAGTTTCCTAAATGGAAGGTTTACTCAATATCTGGAATGATGTTTGATGTGTTATGGGTTTTCAACAACAACAAAAAAAAATAGAATTAACTTCGTAAGCCAAGAATCATTTAGGAAATCGTTTGTTGTTTTTTTTTTTTAACTATTAAATTAAATCTGGGCATCCAACAATATCAGATTCAAATAATCAAAAATTATCCTACAGCTGTACTAGACTTACATCTTATTACCCTCTCAATAAAAAGCTCCTTAAGGACACTGAGCACTGCATTGTGCATATTAAAAGTTAACTATTTAAAAGGTATATCAGTAAATTCCTCCCTGCTTAATTTAATTTTATCATAAGGAATGTTCCTGGTGGTCTCTTCAGATAATCAACAGCTATTAGGATGATCATACTTTCTATAATTACATTTAAAATGAAGAATTTTAAAGCCAGGGATGTAGCTCAGTGGTGCCACCACCTGCCTCACAAGTGCAAGGTCCTGAGTTCAATCCCCGGTACCACAAACAAAGAAAAAAGAAGAGAAAAATTAAGAATTTTAAAAAGCAAAGCACTATGCATTGCGCCAAACTGTCTTATTCGTGTCACCATCATGTAAACTTCCTCCTATATGCCGCAGGAGATACCTAGATCTGCGGGGGGGGGGGGGGGGGGGGGCTGTGGGTTAGCTTAGTGGGAGAGAGCGTGCTGCAACTTCACAGTCCCCCATCGGAAATGTGTGGAGTGTGTGCTAAAAATTTCAGGCTCTGTCCCAGAGCTCTGAATTCAGTGGATCTGAGGCAGGTCTGCAATGTGCATTTCTAACATGCTCCCAAGTATGCTAATCATAGTAGAGCAACCACATCTGACAGCCACTAATCTATACCAGAGGTCAGCAGATTTTTAGTAACAGCCAAAGGATAAATTTTGTGTCGCTACTACTCAACTCTGCCTATGTAGAACAGAAACAGCCACTGGGAATACTTACAAGGGACATGGAAATGTTTCAATTAAACTTTACTTAGAAAAACCAGCGATGGGCTAGACTGGGCCTATGGGCCATTGCTTGCTGACCCCTGATGCACACCAACCTGCTGACTTTGCTCAGCCCACAAATACACCAAAAACTACTCTACTACTGGCCTTGTCATAGTGCCTGAAGGCCGCCAGCAAAGTGTCAAAGTTTTGATAATTAAATTTCTTCAAGTGATGTCGAACTGCAGCGATCAGAGCTCTCTGTCTGTCCTTTCCTCGAAGATACTCGCCCGGGAGTCTGTTATGGATGAGATCACCAGCTCCTGTGAATGAGAGGAGATGTCTCTTGTGTGAATTTAAAGTCTGTTGATATTTTTTTATCGAGAGAGCTGGCAGTTTCAGCGAACGGAAAGCTCAAATCTAACTCTGATGCTATTACGAATCCTTATGTATAAAAACTACGTAAAATAGTTGATAAAAGTATGTCTATTTTAGATCACTTCTCTACTCAAGGAAAAAATACCTAGAAACAAAATGTGGGGGCATCATCAGCCTCATTCAGCTATCATTTCCTCTCCAAAGCCAGCAAAGCTCTCGATTCAGTACCTCTTGGGCTTTTTTTTTTTTTTTTTTTTTTTTAACCAGGGATCAAACTTGGGACCTTGAGCTTACAAAGCAGGCGGTGGCACCACTGAGCTAAAGCCTCAGCCCAAGGGGCTTTTGACTACAATGCTGAGGATCTGAAAGCTGACTGATTTCAAGAGAGCAACATTAGTGTGCCTGGAGCTGCTGAACCTATGGGACCCCTTATAAAAACTAAACTCTGATTCTCTCTTTCCCCCTAGTTTCCATCAGGCCTTCCGTCTGCCTGCCAAATTCCCCCTTCTCGGCCCTGCCTCCCCCTTGACCGCCAGTGTCCCTGGAAGTCTCCCCTCCCGCTAAGTGAGAACGAGTCCTAGCCCACAGCCCAAACAGAGCTGACCGTGATGTGCGGGCCGCTGGCATAGCCAGAGGAGACTTTTTGCCTCTAATCATTTTCTCCTGGCCTTCTACACATGTCCCCCTCTGCCAAACACTCTCCAACTTTCTTGGAGTTAAGGTCATTCTGGCAGTGGGATTAATTTAAACAGCAACATCCACGCAGTTCAAGGTGACAAATATCTACACCTACTCTGTGTAAGGCATGATATTATCCTTTCCAGGTGATTTTCCCCGTCTCCATGATAGGCTCCTGCTCTGTTATGCAGGCCCTCGAACTTCCAGTCCTCCTACTTCAGCCTCCTGAAGAGTTAGAATTACAGGTGTGTGCCACCACACCCAATTTTTATTTGTTGTTGTTGTTGGTTTGGTTTGGTTTTTTGCTATGTAGTTCAGGCAATCCTCCTGCCTCAGCCTCCTGAGTGCTGGGATTACAGTTGTGCTCCACCACACCGGGTAGGGTTTCTTTTAACAGGTACTTCAAGCACCTGTAAATTGCTTGTCTATTATAAAATCAGGAGTTAATTATCCATGTGCTGCTTAAATTCTTTCATGGAAAGAGCCTCAGGATGGGGACAATTTTTTGTTTTATGATTTTTTGAGACAGGGTCTCACTGTATAGTTCAGTCTTGTCTTGAACTCACTGTGTAGCTCAAACTGGCCTTGAACTTGTGGTGATCCTCCTCCCTCAGCCTCCCAAGAGCTGGGATCATAGGCATGTACCACCACACCTGGCCTATAGCAACATTTCGCTGCCATGCCCATACCGTGCCATCAAGCCTGGGAGCCAGCCAGCTGTGGACTAAAACTTCTACAAACTGCAAGCTAAAATAAACATCTCCTCCTTTAAGTTATAGGCATTAGGTACAGTGGTACCTCAGTTCACAAACTTGATTTGCTTTATGACTTCGAAGAAGATAGAATTGTTTGTGTTTGGGTGGGGAAGATGGCCACCATTGTATCTGTCTGTCACCCAATGTGGAGCCTGTGAATCAAAGTAAAGTTTTTTCAAAGGCTTTTGTTTAAGAAGTGAATTGTTGCCGGGCGTGGTGGCTCACGCTCATAATCCCAGCACTTGGGAGGCTGAGGCAGGAGAATTGCTGTGAGTTTGAGACCAGCCTGGGCTACATAGTGAGTTCCAGGGCAGTCTCAACTACACAGTGAGACCTTGTCTTAAAAAAATTAAAAAAAAAAAAAAAGAAGAGTAAAGAAGTGAACTGTTTGTGAACAGAAGCATTCGTGAACCAAGACATTACTGTACTGTGTCTCAGTGGGAAGAAAAAAAATTTAAAGCCTTAACTACACTTAAAATATTCATTACAGGGGCTTTAAATTTGTAATATGAAAAAAAGACCTTTCTTGCATTAGATATTTTTCTCCATTAGTGTTAATGCAACACTTTAAGGCTTTAAAATTGGAAGCCTCAAGAGGCAGAGGCAGGAAGATTGCCACGGTTGGAGGTCAACTTCAAGTACACGTGAGATCCAGTCTCAAAAAACAAAACAAATATGCTTGGCATGTCGGCTTATGGGTATAATAACAGCACTCAGGAGGCTGAGGCAGGAGGATCACTACAAATTCAGGGGTGGCCTGGGCTGCATGGTACTCACTCACTAGACCTGCCTGGACTACATAATAAGACCCTGTCTCAAAAAAACTTAAAAAAAAAAAAAAGTTAAAATTAGAAGCCTTGAAAGAAGGAGATGGTAGCTGTTTGGGGATTTTGACAATGTTTGTTCATTCTGCTGTTTTTGAAGGAGAAAGTTTATATAGTTACCGTACTCCTCAGGAGAGAGACAAGCTCCAAATGTGTGGCCTGGGGGAACATTCATTGTTTCTGCAATGCTACCAAAGAAAACAAATCCTTTAGTCGAAATTCCCACCACACAGCATTCCTAGAATTTAAAATGTCTGCCATACGTTCTTAGCCTGCATTTTCTCCTATCACAATCAATGAAGATCAAACAGAAGTTCTCCCAAGGATCTATTTTTCTCATCTCCACTTGCATTATTAACAATGGATGAATGCTTTCACTGCCTTTCAGTAAACCAGATTTTAAAAAAGAAAAGACATGCAAAGCAAACTTCCTATAAATAGAGGGTGTGACAGACAGGGAATACAGTTAAATTAAATGTAAATACAGTTAAATTAAATTCTTGATATCCCAGAAATAAAACTTTATGCAACATTCTCCCTCCTTTTCCAAATCCCTCTCTACCATGGAGAACTCATCAGTTTCCTGGAACTCCAAATGCTATGTCAATTAACATTATTCACTGAAGAGTAAAAAATTATTTTCCTATTTAATAGTATCTAATCAAACACAAAACAATATTTAACACAAGAGTACTTTCTTAACCTCAATGCAGAATCCAAACATGCAGTTAGTCATTAACTTACGGATCTAAAACTCTTCCAACCTTATGTTGAAACTTTTCTTTGAAATCGTCAACTCTCTTAGATACAATTTTAGCTCCTCTTTTCCTAAAAAAAAAAGAAAGAAAATTATCAGTTGTTTCTATGACCTGAAGAATCCTTTGTTGCCAACTGTACATGTGGTAAGGAATATCACTGTATCAATAGGCCTTGATCAAACAAATCTAATTTTTTTTCCTGGTACTGGAATCAAACTCAGGACCTTCCGTTTGCCAGACAGACACAAGACCACAGCGGTAAATTCCTGGCCCCTAAACAAATGTAATTTCAAAAGAAATTCTATGCTAAAAAGAAAGCTCTAGGGCCGGGGATTTAGCTCAGCGGTTGGGTGGCCTGCCTTATAAGCACAAGGACCCGAGTTCAATCCCCATACCAAAAAAAAAAAAAAAAAAAAAAAAAAAAAAAAAAAAAAAACTAAAAAAAAAAAAAGAAAGAAAAAAGAAAAGAAAGCTTTATGTGTCCATCTTCCTAGCATCTATAACTATAATAAAAACAAATTTTGGTTAAATAATAAAGGAAGCAAACTTTAAAAATACCTTCCATAATGTTATTGTTATAACTTTTAAATTTGCTGAAAGAAAAATAAGCATCAAATAAATAAATAACCAAAGGATATAAACAAAGAACTTATTTCTAGTGAGAGAAATCATAATACTCTGTAGTAATAAAATGAATTTTAAAAATAAGAAGACCTCTTCTGACCTAGTAAAAAAGAGAAATAATATCTGAACTTATCAAAAAGCTGGTAAAATACTTTCAGAATGTTAGTGAAGACTCTTACTATCCTTTTGGAAATAATGAGTAAAAGGAAATAAAATGCATAAAAGTGCCCATGCCCTTTTATCCACAACTGGAAACCAATAACAGAAGATAATCCACATAACAATTTATTGAGGGGGTTTTTTTGTGTTTTGTTTTGGTACTGAGGATCAAACTTGGACCTTGCACTTGTGAGGCAACATGACAACTTAAAATGTGGAATGTTAGCACAGTGCCATGCACCTGCTGTCCCAGTCGCTCAGGAAGCTGAAATAGGAGGATCACTTCAGCCCAGCAATTTGGGGCCAACCTAAGCGACATAGTGAGACTCCACTGCTTTAAAAAATGCAGGAAGTTGTATGTATGAAAGTATTTTTACGAGTTCAAGGCCAGCAGCCTGGGCTACACAGTGAGTTCAAGGCCAAGCTGAACTACATAGTGAGACCCTGTCTCTCTCTCACACACACACACACACACACACACACTGACTATAATGGTAAAAAAAAAAGTCAAAATATTCAATCACAGATTGTGATTGTATTATGAAACATGTAATATACTTTGCACACTGTTTTATGTGCGGGTGAGTGTGTGTGTGTGTGTGTGTGTGTGGTGATGGTAGTGTTGGACAGCAAACCCAGGGCCTTCTCCATGATGAACAACGGCTCTACCATTGTTACATTTTTAATATTTTATTTTGAGACAATGTCTTGCTAAGTTGCACGGGCTGGCCTCAAACTTGCCATCTTCCCGCTCAGACTCCCGAGTAGCTGGGAATACAGCAATGTGCTACAGTGCCTGGCTCTCAGGATGCATTGTAGGCTGATTATGAAGAATAAACAGCAAGATATAATTATTTTATGTTAACTGAAAAGTCAGTATATAAAATGGGGTTTGCGCTCTGGCAAAAACTATGCAAAAATCTACACAGGAAGCCACACTAGAAAGAAATACGCACATTAAAATAGCGTAATGGAAAAAAATAGCATAATGGTTAAATTAAGATGACAGGATTATGAGTGATTTTATTTTGCCAATTTCCTATATTTTATTCCCACTATTGTGATTAAGTGAATAAAATTTCCTTTGAAACTGTCAAATTACACTATTTAATGACATCAAAATTAATAAATTCTCTATTGCTTTGCTAAGATGAAAAACAATGAACATTAAATTCTTAAACTCTACTTGCTTTTAACACCACTTCCTATAATAATAATTATTGAGCTGAATAAATTTCTGGAGTAGAGTGACACTCTGTGGAGAAACAGAAATATGTTGTGGTTTATATTTCTAGATGTCCCCTGAAAGCTTCACGAGCTCATAGGTGGGCTTTTCGAAGCTGGCTGTGATTTTGGGTTTAAGGGTATGTGTTACTAAATTAGAGTACTGATTGGAATTAACATAGTTCTGTGTGTGGCTGAACGGAGTTACTGAAGACAGAAGCCATCCAGAAGCTAAATAAACTTTTCCACCTTTACCTTGTGGGTGTCCAGTATATTGTCCCAGCAATGCAAAAACTAACCAAGACAAAATATGAAGTAATTCATCTTGTATTTCTTCATTTCGTTCACATTTGTTAAAGGGGGGGTATTGGGAAAAGTCTAAATAAATCAGTGGCAATTTTAGGACTATAATTTCAGCCAATGGAGCTGACAGTCTAAAAATCAACTGTAAACCAGGTGTGGTGGCACACACCTGTAATCCCAGCACTCAGGAGCCTGAGGCAGAAAGATTGCCATGAGTCTGAGACAGACCTGGGTTACATAGTGAGTTCAAGGCCAGGCTGAATGACATAGCAAAACCCTGTCTCAATAAATAAATTAAAAAATTAGATGCCTTGAAATGTAAACAAACATGCTAGACTCTAACAGAAACTGCACTGAGGAATGAAGTACTGAACTTTTTTAAATCTGACAAGCCAAAGGACTTAAGAATTTCTTTACTGCTTTTATGCAGTTAAGTATGAAAGTACAAAACGTATGGTCTAATAAAACAGTGTTCCATAAATAATTCTCCCGAGAGGGCAGAGACAAGCTGAAGGAAAACATGCCCTGCATAGTGCCTGCCCAAATAAATTTAGTGTATTTTTTATAATTACCCCAAAGAAATACTAAATATGTCCTTGAAAATGATTTGAAGGCTCTACTCTTAGAACATTCTACAGGATCACTTTGTAAGGGATCACTGTGGTGGTTAAGCTTTTTGTTTGTTTGTTTGGGGGGGTTGTTTTGTTTGGGTTTTTGTTTTTGGGGGGTTCTTGTTTTGGTTTTTTGAGACAGATCTCACTATGTAGTTGAGACTGACTTGGAACTCACTATGTAGCCCAGGCTGATTGCAAACTCACAGAGATCCTCCTGCCTCAGCCTCCCAAGTGCTGGGATTACAGGCTGCACCACCATGCCCGGGGCTTTTTTGGTTTTTTGAGACAGGTCTCACTATGTACTTGAGACTACTGACCTGGAACTCGCTATGTAGCCCAGGCTGGTCTCAAACTCACAGCAATCCTCTTGCCTCAGCCACCTGAGTGCTGGGATTACAGGCATGAACTACCAGGCATGCTGTGGTGGTTAAACTTAATTGTGTCAACTTGATTGGCTTGTGAGCCATTGGAGGTTTGTTTGTTTGTTTGTTTGTTTTTTGAGGCAAGTTCTCACTCTGTAGTTCAGGCTAGCCTTGAACTCACTATGTAGCCCAGGCTGGCCTCAAACTTGTGGTGATTTTCCCCCTGAACTTCCAGAGTGCTGGGGTTATAGGTGTGTGCCACCACCCCTGGCCACACTTGTTTTTTGTTTTTTGGGTTTTTTTTTGGTACCAGGGATTGAACTCCAGACCTTACACTTGGCAGGCTGCAGCACCATGGAGCTAAATCCCCGGCCCTACTGAGGGGATTTTTAAAGCACACTTCTGGATGTGTCTAGGTGGGTCATGGAGGCGTGGCTTTGAAGATCTGCTCGCTGGTCCCCTCCTCTCTGGCACTTCAGCCGCTCTCCTTCCTGGTCTACATGAACGAAACAGCTTTGCTCTGCCATACCACCAGGGTGCTCCTGCCTTGGAGCCAGCCTGCCATGTACTCAAACCCCGGAAACCATAAGCCAATGAAACCTCTCCTCCTTCAGGTTGTGTCAGATATTTTGTACCAGTGATGACAAAACTGGTGGCTATTAAAACCTAAAAGTCAGAAAGCAGAATAAATCTCCATTTATATAGAGTATAGGCCTAAAGCAGGCATGGTGGCACACACCTGTAATCTTAGTACTCTGGGAGGCTGAGGCAGGAGAATCACAAGCTCGAGCCAAGCCTGGGCAAATCAGTAACTGAATCCCTGTATCCAAAAAAATATAAAGGGGCTAGAGATATAGATCAGTGCAAAGGTGATGAGTTCAATGCCCAGCACCACCAGAAAGAAGAAAGGAAGGGAAGAAGAAAAAAGGAAGAAAAGGAGAGAGAAAGGGAAGGGGAGAAGGGAGCAAAGGAGGGAGGAGAGGAAGGAAGGAAAGGAGGCGTCGTATATTCGTTTCCTGCAGTTGCTCTAACAAATTGCCACAAACTTGCTAAAGCTACAGAAACCTAAAGCAACAGAACAGTATTCTCTCACAGCCCTGGAGGCCAGAAATGTGAAATCGAGGTGTCAACAAGCCCTCAGTGCCTCCAAACCCGAGGAGAGGAGGGTCCGCTCCTTCTTCCCATGCCTGGGGCTCCTGGCCTTTCTTGGGGCTCAGTTCAGAGCCATATTCCCCCAGCTCTGCCCCTCTCTTCTCCACCTGCTGTATTCGTCTCTTCCTCCGTCTCGGATCTCCCTCTGACATTCTAAGGAAACTTCAAGGCAATCCAGGGCACCAGAGGAATCCACTCCGATTATCCAGGCCGATCTCTTTCATTGCCACATCCCTCCTCCACACACAGAGACCCTTCTCCCCCATAGGGTATCATTCACCGATTCTAGGAATGAGGACATGTGCACATCGTATTTGGGAGCAGAACTCCAGTATTTATAATCTGCAACCCACTGTGCAACCACAGTATTTAAATCTTTCTCTTTTCTTTTCTTTGTCTTCGTACCAGGGATCGAACTCAGAACCTTGCTCTTGCAAGGCAGGCGCAGCACCAAGCAACATCCCCAACTACAATCTTATTTTTTTTAATCATAACAAGGAATCTATATGTTTAGGAACACAAAATCTGTGTTTGTTGTCTGAGGTATAAAAATATAACACAAGTTGCTGGGCGCGGTGGCGTGCACCTGTAATCCCAGCATTCGGGAGGCTGAGGCAGGAGGATCAGTGTGAGTTTGAGACCAGCCTGGGCTACAGAGTGAGTTCCAAGTCAGTCTCAACTACATAGTGAGACTCTGTCTCAAAAAAAAAATAGAGTTGATTCTACAGATTTAAAACATATAAACTTGTATTCATATTCATCTGCAAATTCTTGAAGTAATTTTAGAAAGCTACAAACAGTGGGCCAGGGATTTAGCTCAGTGGTTCCGCTGCCTGCCTCACAAGCACAAGGACCCGAGTTCAATTCCCCCATATCAAAAAAAAAAGACGAAAGCTACAAACAAAAAACAGTATAATGATTACCATGGGAGAAACTGGACAAAATGTATATCAGAAGTAGAAGACTTTTCACTGTATATTTTTTGTAATTTTATGTTTGAATTACGTCAGTGTACTATCTCTCTTACAAAATTAATAATTTTCTTTCCAAATGGCAAATATCTAACACTTAATCCTGGACACTGTCGAATTAGACTTACATTTGTAGTTCATGGAGCCAATATAAACTTTTTGCCATGTTTTTCCCATCGTTAAAATGTGGTGTAGGGACTCCAAATAAGTTAAACCGATGGAAACTGGCTGGGTTATACTTTCGGTTCTTTGCTTCTCCTGTGGCAGAAAGAAGACTTTTGAATTAAGCCACACAAATAACCTTTTCTTGCAAGAAGCACATCATGCTCTCATTGAAAATAAGAGTGAGGCAAAGAATGAAATCACAACAGTGCAGGGAATTGTGCAGATCTGGCTACAAATGACAGCAGCTTTCCCCACATGAGCTGGGAAACTGGAGGGGTGCTGCAGACCAGAGTTCCTTATGTTAATGTTCGGAAAGCTGCACGTAGAGAAAGATTTTACACACACACACACACACACACACACACACACACACACACACTGATAGCACTAATAAAGCACTAATAAAAGAATTCAGCAACATTGCATAATTCCAAATTAATGTACAAAAATCCACACTAAGCAGAGGATTATGGTACACACCTATAACCTCAGTGCTCAGGAAACTAAAGCAGGAGGATCATAAGGTTTTTTTGGGGGTGTTGTTGTTGTTGTTGTTGTTGTTGTTTTGGTACTGGGGATTGAACTTGGGTCCTTGCGCTTGCAAGGTAGGCCACTGAACCGCTGAGCTAAATCCCTGGCTGGCGGATCGTAAATTTGAGGCCACTATGAGCTATTTCACAAGATCCTACCCTCAAAAAATTCTTGACATTTAGATATAATAATAATTACCTATCTAATAAAAGAAATCAAGAAAATAATCCTGCCCAATGGAGACTGAAGCAGGAAGATCTCAATTTTGAGCACAGCATGGGCAACTTAGTGAAACCCTGTCTCAAAAATTTAAAAAAGAACTAGGGATGAAGCTCAGTGCAAAGACAGAAAAAAAATCCCACTTAAAATAACATCAATCAATAAAATAAATATAAATAAATTGTGTCCTGCTCTTTTGAGATACGGTCTTACTATGTTGTTTTTTTTTTTTTTGAAACAGGGTCTCACTATGTAGTTGAGACTAACCTAGAACTCACTATGTAGCCTAAGCTGGTCTCAAACTCACAGCAATCCTCCTGCTTCAGCCTCCCGAGTGCTGGGATTACAGGAGTGCGCCATCACGCCGGGCCAGTCTTACTATGTTGGCTCAAACTCTTGGACTTGAGCAATCCTACTATCTCAGCTACAGACACATATGACCACAACTGGCCTTTCAGAGTAACTTTAACACAGAAGGTGAAAGACCTTTGCGCTGGCTTTTATCTGGATGTGCCCCCAAAGTCTCCTGTGCTTATAGGTGAAGCTTTTCAGTTGGCAGAATCTAAGGGCATATTATGGCTGTGTCTAGATGTCCCTCCAAAGCCTCATGCAGTCATAGGTGGAGCTTTTCAAAGGTGGCTGAGTTTAGAGTATGTGATGCTGGGATTAAGAGTGTGATGCTGTAGCCAGGCATGGTGGCGCATGCCTGTAATCCCAGCACTCAGGAGGCTGAGACAGGAGAGTCCCTGTGAGTTCGAGACCAGCCTGGGCTACATAGTGAATTCCAGATCAGTCTTAACTACATAGTAAGACCTTGTCTCAAAAAAAAACCAAAAAAAAAAGAGTGTGATGCTGAGATCAAGGATGTGTGATTATCAAATTAGTCCCGATTGGTTTGGCATAGTTCTGTGTGTAGAAAATGGGAAGGCCCTCCCTGGGTATGAGTGCTACCCACCCTAGGGGTATGTAGCCTGGATAGAATATAAGGGATGGAAAGAGGGCTGCTGTTGCCATTTCTTTGTTGTTTCTTCTCTACTTGGCTGCCTTCTGCCCACCATGAACTGTTTCTCCTCTGCGATGGCCCTCTGCCATGGCACCCTGCCTTGGAGCCAGCTGACTATGGACCGAAACCTCTGCAAACTGTGAGCCGAATAAAACTTCCCAGGGCCAGGAATTTAGCTCAGTGGTTCTTCCACCTGCCTCGCAAGCACAAGGTCCCAAATTCAATCTCCAGTACAAAAAGTAAATAAAAATAAAATTTTTTTAAAAAAACCTTCCCTGATTTAACTATAGATGTCTGGTATTTTTGTCCCAGTAACAAGAAAGTAATCAAGACAATCTCTGTACTGAAAACTGTAAAACACTGATGAAAGACATTGAAAAGGCACAAATAGATATTCCATGCTCATGGAATGCAAGAATCTATATTGTCATATGTTCACCTACTCAAAGCAATAAACATCCAATTTGGTTCTTATGAAAATCACAACAGCACATTTTGCAGGGAAAAAAACCTGTAAAATTCATATAGAACCATAAAAGAACCTTAAATAGCCAAAGCAATCCTCGGAGAAAAAGTTAGAGGAACCAAACCTTGTGATTGAAAAGTCTATCTCAAGAGCTAGAGGATGGACAGATACATCCTGGACGGAGTACATGCTGAACATGTGAAAAGCCTTGGGTTCAATCCCCACCACCAAAAAAGTACAAACATAATAAAATTACAATGCAAAGCTATAGTGATCAAAACAGTGTGATACTGGTATAAAAAAATACACACATAGACCAGCAGCATAGAATAGAGAACCTAGAAATAAATCCAAACAGATATGTGGTCAACTTGTTTTTTTTTTGTTTTTTTTTTTTTTTGGTACCAGGGATCGAACTCAGGCAACAGAACCACTGAGCTAAGTCCCCGGCCCTATGATCAACTATTTTTGACAAGGGCACCAAGATTATACAAAATGGGGAAAGGATAACCTCAACATTAATGGGGCTGGAAAAACTCGATTTTCACCTGGTGTCGGGGATTTAGCTCAGTGGCACCACACCTGCCTCAGAAGTGCAAGGTCCTGAGTTCAATCCCTGGTACCACAGAAAGAAAGAAAGAAAGGAAGAAAGGAAGAAAGAAAGAAGGAAGGAAGGAAAGAAAGTGGACTTTTATCATTCATAAAAATCAACTCAAAACTGATTTAAAAAAAAAAAAAAAACCTAGGGCTGGGGATTTAGCTCAGTGGTTCCAGTGCCTGCTTTGCAAGCACAAGGACCCGAGTTCAATCCCCGGTACCAAAAAAACCAAAAAAACAAAAAATTAAATTAAATTTTAAAAACCTGCCAGGCGTGGTGGCGCACACCTGTAATCCCAGCACTTGGGAGGCTGAGGCAGGAGGATCGGTGTGAGTTTGAGACCAGCCTGGGCTACATAGTGAGTTCCAGGTCAGTCTCAACTACATAGTAAGACCCTATCTCCAAAAAAACAACAAAATTAAAAAAAAAACTAATTCTAAAACCAGGAGGAAAAACTAAAACAAAATAAAAATTTTTAAATGAAATCAGAGAAAAATCTTTCTTTGGCCTTGGCAGTGATTTCTCAGATATCACTCTAAGAATTTCGAGCTAGAGATTTAGCTCAGTGGTTCTGCTGCCTGCCTTGCAAGGGCAAGTTCCCAAGTCTGATCCCCATACCAAAAAATAAATAAATAAATAAAATCTAAAAACTCAGGCTACAGCCAGGAGTGGCAGGCACCTATAATCTCAGCACTTGAGAGGCTGAGACAGGAGAATCCCAATAAATCCCAGAGCAGCCTGGGCTATAGAGTGAGTTCAAAACCAGCCTAACTACAAGACTGTCTCAAATAAACAAACAAAAAAACAAATGGAACAATGTCAAACTAAAAACATCTGCATGGCAAAGAAAACAACTAATGAAATGAAAGGCAATCCATATATATTGGGGAAAATATTTGCACAACATATATCTGTTAAGAAGTTAGTATCCAGCTATGTGTGGTGGTGCACACTTGCAATCCCAGCACTCAGGAGGCTGAAGCAGGAGGATTGCTGCAAATCCAAAACCAGTCTGGGCTACATAGTGAGTTCAAAACCAGAGTGTACTATGCTGGGTATGGTGGTGCACGCCTGTAATCCCAGCACTGGGGAGGCTGAGGCAGGAGGATTGTTGTGAGTTGGAGAACAGCCTGGGCTACATAGTGGATTCCAGGTCAGTCTCAACTATACAGTGAGACCCTGTCTCAAAAAACAAACAAAAAGAAAAAAACAGCCTGTACTACACAGCAAGACCCTGTCTCAAAAATCAAAGAAAAAAAATTTAGAAAGAACTCATACCACTCAACAGCAAAACAGGGTGGAGGGGGTGAAGGGCGGGCAGGGGTATAGGGAAAAAATGAGAACCAATGTCTGTCATGTAAAGGTACAAGATTCCAATGATGAATGTAACTGTACTTTATCCTTAAAAAGTACCAATAATTCAATGAAAAAAACAGCCAAAACAGAAATAGCTTAATTTAAAAATAGGCAAAGGACATGAATATTTGGAAAGTAATTCAGGTAATCATGTGACATGAAGACAGATATTTCAAATGTACACATAGGGCCTACCACTGTTAAAACCTTGAAGATTGAGGGGACATGCTGCAACACTGTGGAATCCCAGCAGTGCTTTCAACTATAAGATTTGAGAGGTCGGCGTTTTGTATTTGTTATCATGAGATTTGGTGAGATCATCTGAATATTGTAATCTTCACATTTCATTATAATCATTTATCTCACATTAGAAACATCTGAAGGGTGAATTGAAGCTGAGAACAAAATAGGAAAATCTTTTCTCTTTCTAAATCTAACGTAGAGCACAGGCCTTTAATTCCAGCCCTGGGAAGGCTGAGACAGGAAGATGCCTCAAATTCAACTAGAGAGTGAGTTCAAGGCCAGCCTGAATTGAACTGGGAGGCACTGCCTCAAAAGACAAACAAACAAAAGGACTGAAATTAGAGAACCATTAATAGGCTCAGAAATGATGACTCATCCCTGTAATCCCAGCACTCAGGTAGGCTGAGGTGGAAGGACTGTAAATTTGAGCCTAACCTGGGCTGTTTAGTAATTTAGTGAGACCCTATTGGAGACAGCTAAGTAGAAAATATTATAAGGCAGTTAGGCAAGGCCAGGCCCTCAGCGCAGAAGACAACTGAGGTATATTTACTAAAAGGTCAGGATTCAAAAAGGAAGAGCCACTACTACACCTAGTCCCTAGAGACTGAATAGCAGTGACGATATCAATCACTTTGGGTGCGGACCCAAGTCTCCCTAGTCCATTCCTTCCAGGAAATCCTCGTTTGGTCTGTACCCTTGCTGCATGACTGGCTTTCCCATTTGATCACCATGTAATCAGTGCTACCTAGGCGACTACACTTGTTGTAATTGTATTGGTGGATCGTAGTTTTGTTCCACCTCGTGATTTCCCACTGTATCACTATATTACCTACAGGACGATAACTGTAATTGTATTAGTTCGCAGTTATTTTATCCCACCTTGAAGCCATCTCACCTCATGGCTTCCTTTATCAAATTTTTTTTTCCAGTACTAATTTTTTTTTCAGGACCTTGCCCTTGCCAGGCAGGCGCCACACCACTGAGCTACATCCCCAGCAATCTTTATCAATTTTTACGTGCTCTGCTATCAAGGTTCCTATCAAGATTTATGATCTTATAATAATAATAAATTACCATTCACTGATCATCAACTATAGGCCAGGCATTGGACTTTATATGAGCATTATGTCCTTTACTCTTCACAAATCTGAGGGTCCCATATCCACGGGCCACTTACCCACATAATAATCATTGTGAGAAACAACATACAAATCATGTCTTTCCTCTCCTTCTTTAAATACTTCGTCATAGGATTTTGGTGGATTCACTACATCTCTAACGGAGAATTCTGAAGAAAGAATCAGTTAAATCAGCTGCAATGTTTCTATTTGTAATGTACTTAAATTCACAAGAACAAGTGATAAATGCACAAGAATAAATACATAGACTATCCTGGGATCTCCCAAAATAAACAAAGATTTGTCAAGGAAGACAAGGAAAAATCTGAAGAAATCCACTTGACTGGGCTCACTTCCTGGAATTCTGAATACCAGAACTGTGTCAATCAGGGTTGTCCTGAGCCATGGTCCGAGCCCAGTTAAATCCCCAACCCTAAGACTCTCTAGAAAATGTTGACTTTAGTTTCTTTTCCATTTCTTAACATAACCTAAGCAAATGTGAATTTTACATGAGAAACTATAATGCCCGGTGGGCTGGCCACAAATTTTGGCAGCTATACAGTGAAACACAGACCCTGAGTCTTTTTTAACATGAATTTCCATCCCCAATATCAAGAGAGGTACTTGGGAAATCACTAGAACCACGAAGAGATTTTTCCTACTGGATCAAATCCAGATTCAACGTTTGTGTAAGAGCTGCTTCTCCCACGAGTGGTCGTCCCCAGTTTCATGTTTGGCGAATGATTTTGCTTCCACTCTTTCACATAAACATTTTTACCACCCACTTACTCCATTTACTAGCCCAATCTTCCCTTTCAAACTAACAGCACTGATGAAGATATGTCCCTTCACTGCACACCGTGGAGCACACCTGTAATCCCCGTGCTCAGGAGACTGAGGCAGAAGGGTCGTGGCTTTGAGGTCCGCCACTGTGGGCCACCTAAGGAGGTCAACACCTCACTACATCGTCTTCACTCACTGCCTTTCCCTCTCTTTCTCCTCCTCCCTTTCCCCTCTCCCTTCTCTCCTCTCTCTCTCTCCCTCTCCTCTCTCTCCCCCAAGATCTCAGCATGTTACCCAAGCTGGCCTCACACCTGCCATCTTCCTCAGCTGGGACAACAGGTGGGCACCACAACACTCAGCTCTCGTCTTGCATGCTTTGAATAATCATTTCCATCATCCCAAACCACACCAATGGTGCGTTTACTTCAATTCTCCACACAGACGTCTTCTGCAGTCCCCCCTAATTTTTTTACTACCTCTGATGACTGCTGTCCCAAATGTTGTATTGATGATGTCCAGTCCTTCAGGTAATCCTGGTGTTTGATTGTGAGATTTCCCTAATGGTGCCCGTTGATTGCTATAATATATAGACTCTTTTTTATCTTTAATTTTCTGTTGAAATGCGGTAACAGGCTGTGGATTTATCAATGTATTTGCCTAAAGAAACGATACAAGGCACAGATGTATCAACCAAAAAAAAAGGTGTAAATCTGATCACTAAAGCCTTCATCAAAAGCGAGCAAGGAGAGAAAATACAGCATGATTAGGGAAATACACTTCATTATCATCATTGGCTTTCTTGCCTTCAAATGGACTATCAGAATTGAAACTATGAAGTACAAATGTGCCTAAATGAGAACTTTCAAAGGAATTTAAAGGTTTCGTTGGGACTAGAAAGCTTGAGCAAAGCATGCAGGTTGAATCAAATATTCAAGAAAAGTAGAAAATGCCGTATGTACCAACTCTGTACAATGCTATCATTATATATCACAGACAACTAATAAAAAAGTAGGAATAATAAGACCAGAAAATGTAATTTCCATATCCTCTCCAGATGTATAGATCAAGCCCTTGTGAATCTAGGCCATATATTCAATCAACAGCAAATAACTTACTGACCCCACCTCCACTCAATACCTAAGCTTTCTTTAATCTTTTTTTTTTTTTGGTACTGGGGATCAAACTTGGGCCCTTGTGCTTGCCAGGCAAGCAACAGAACCACTGAGCCAAACCCCCAGCCCAACACCTAAGCTTTCCGCAGTGCTTATACAAACCAGTCACTACCAAGACCGTACTCTTCCTCTTCCAACAAAGCCTGAAAGTATTTCCATTTACTGGCAGAAAATGGAGAACAACTCGCCTTATCATCTGAGGGGAGAAGGGTTTGTGGTCTGAACCATTAATTTCTTCACATTCTATTGGGTACTGCTTGGATTTTTTTCATTGATCAAGATTAATGCTTTCTCCTATGATGAATGTAATCATCACGTACTGCAACATGTACTAATACAAATTTTTTTGTTTTGTTTTGTTGTTTTTTTGAGACAGGGTCTCACTATGTAGTTGAGACTTACCTGGAACTCACTATGTAGTCCAGGCTGGTCTCAAACTCACAGTGATCTTCCTGCCTCAGACTCCCGAGTGCTGGGATTACAGATGAGCGCCACCATACCCGGCTACTAATATAAATTTTAAAAGATTAATGCTTTCAGATTACAGATGGAGGAAAGACTGGTTAAAAAAAAAAACCCCATGGGACAGCCAGGCGTGTTGGCATAAACTTGTAATGCCAGCATTCAGGAGGCTGAGGCAGGAGGATTGCCCCAAATTCAAGACAGCCTGAGCTACATAGCTAGACCCCACCTCAACAAAAACAAAAAAATATATGGTGGAAAGGAGACTGGAATCTTCATTTATGCACTTTTATCCTGCTAAATTAATAATGTACAGTAGAGGAAGAAAAAGAAATAGTTACCGGTATTGAAATTTTAGATCTTATCCCATGAGTCAAGTAACGTGCAATTTGAGGGTCATTGGCTTTGCCATAAAATACTCTCTCTGCTCCGGGAGGTGGATATCTGAAGTTGAAATACTTTTTTGCCTCTGGTGGAGTAATCAGCTACAAAGAGTATGACAAGAAAATAGAATTATCAAATAATAACTGAACTTACCTATACCAATCAATGTACACCCTTAATTTCATGAGAGTAGTAAGCACATGGGCAATTATAGCTCCAAGTTTCTTCTAAAACTGATTTATGAGAATAAACAATATATTTTACAATTCTTCTTAAAAATAAGTAAGCACTTACAAACTGTGCTGCTATAAAGATGGGGGCACATATATCAGTGTGTTGTGATGCTTTTAATCTTTTGGGGAAGATACCCAGCAGGAGAACAGCTGGTTGATGTCAAATGGGACCTCTAATCCTAGTTTTTTGAGGAATCTCAACCCTGATTTCCACAGTGGCTGCACCTGTCTACACTCCCTCCAACTGTGGAGAAGGGTTCCTTTCTCCCCACAACCCTGCCAATATTTGTTATTGGTTTCTTTTTTTTTTTTTTTTTTTTGTTCAAGATCAAACTCAGGATCTTGCATCTGTGAGGCAGGTGGCAGAACCACTGAGCTAAATCCCAGGCCCTTGATGTCTTGACAGCAGCCACTCTTTCTGGGGTGAGGTGGAATCTCAGTGTTGTTTTCATTTGCATCTCTTGAATGCCCAGTGATGTTGAACATCTTTTCTTGTATTTATTTGCTATTTCTACTTCTTTGACTGAGAAATGTCCGTTCATTTCAGATGCCCATTTTTGCTGGGCATGGTGGCGCACACCTGTAATCCCAGCACTCAGGAGGCTGAGGCAGGAGGATTGCTGTGAGTTCCAGACCAGCCTGGGCTACATAGTGAGTTCCAGGTCAGTCTCAATTACATCGTGAGACCCTGCCCCCCCCAAAAAAAACAGATGCTCATTTTTGGTTTGGGTCTTTAAATTTGGGATGTCTGATTTTTTTAAGTTCTTTAGGTATTCTAGATAGTAAACCTTTGTCTGAGGAACAGCTGGTACAAATTTTTTCCCACATTGTGGGTTCTCTCTTCATGCTGTTTATGGTTTCTCTTGCTGTGCAGAAGCTTTTCAGTGAGATCCCAGAAACAGCCCAATTGCCCATCAACTGGAGACTGGATAAAGAAAATGTGTTTTTTTAAATAAAATGGAGTACTATACAGCCATAAAGAATGAGAAACTAGAGACATTTATGGCTAAACAGATGCACATTGTGGCCATACTCTTAAGTGAAATAAATAGGACATACACGTTAATACTGAATAGTTTCTTTGGTGTGAGAAAGTGAAAGTGTAAATAATGATCAAAATGTATGATAGATAATGTGAAATAGGAAGAAAAGGTCCAAAGGGGAAGGGGAAGTGGGAGGAGTAGGGGAAAGAAAGAAGGGAAAGGAATAAATACTAGAAAAGGAAACAATGGAAACAAAGTCTTTATAAATAGGGAGGGGTGGAGGGGTTGAAGCGGGGGAAAAACATAAGAACTAAGATATATCGTGTAAAGGTACAAATTCTCAATGATGAATGCCATCGTATTCTATACCTAAAATGTACCAATAAAATTAATGAATAATTTAAAAACTATTAGTATCCAGTTTAAAAATCATACTTTTTGTTTGTTTGTTTGTTTGTTTTGTTTTGTTTTTTCACAACAGGGTCTTGCTATGTAGTTCAGGCTGCCCTTGACTTCACTATGTAGCCCAGGCTGGCCTTGAATTCACAGTGACCCTCCTGCCTCAGCCTCCCGAGTGCTGGGATTACAGGCATGTGCCACCAAGCCCAGCTACTCTTATTAAAATAATTGAGCCCCTTGAGCCTTTTTGGAGAGCTGAAAAATGTAAATATGTAATTTTTACTTCCTTGGACAAAATCAATGAAAGGTTTAAAATGTAGTGGAGTCCAAAATGACCACATCAAGTGTATAAAATTTTCAGAAGGAATGTTGAGAGCTGTCTATCTCTTCAAGTTCATATGTGAAATGAAAAGAGAAAGGTAAAGGCACATGGAAAATGCTTACCCTAGGGAGTTTTTCAGTTAAGCAAGTTGCAACTCTGTATCCAACTGGTGTAACTTTCCCAGCCTAGGGGAAAAAAGCAGAAGTTGACCATTGTCAGGATGGAAGAGGACCACTTGGAAGAATGGAGTTTATTTTATCTTTGTCCCATGCTACAAAGTTACTTGCAACTAAAAACAAGAGGAAAAAAAGAACAGCACACTTTAGGCCTCCTGATATATAAACAATGAATGCTAAGTACAGGGACTGGGGTGGGTATAAGTTAGTGGTACAGCATTTGGATGTCCAGGATGCACTGGTGCTGGCTTTAATCCTCCGCAGTTAAAAAAATAAAATTTTACATATATG